GGAGAATGCTATGGGAGACTGTGTCGAAGGCTTTGCTGAAGTCCAGGTATACAACATCCACAGCCTTTCCCTCACCTACCAGGTGGGTCACCTGGTCGTAGAAGGAAATCAGGTTGGTTAGGCAAGACCTGCCTTTCATGAACCCATGCTGACTGGGCCTGATCCCCTGATTGTCCTCCATGTGCCTGGTGAGCACACTCAAGATGAACCTCTCCATAATCTTCCCCGGTACTGAGTGGCCAGGTTAAATTCCAGCTGGGCTTTTGCCTTTCTAATTTCCTCTCTGCATAACCTGACAAGATCCCTGTACTCTTCTTGGGTTGCCTGCCCCTTCTTCCAGAGCTGGTAAGCTCTCCTTTTTTTTCCTTAGTCGCAGTAGCAGACCTCTGTCCAGCCAGGCCAGTGGTCTTCCCCGCCAATTTGTCTTACAGCACATGGGGACAGCCTGCTCCTGACAAGTCCCAGCAGTATTTCTGTAGCAGTTCCTCCAGCTCCAGGGTGACCTAACCCCATTCATAGTGTCACAGAAATGAACCCTTTCTCTCAGAAACCTGCCCTCTTGAAGTCTGTAGCACTCGGTGGGCACTTACAGAGAGACAGATGATGATGATGATAATGCAGACACATTTAAATGTGTTCACTATGTGGAGCTGAAGAGGTTTGATTTACTCCATGGCGCTGACATGCTACAATTATGCTAGCTTCTATGATAGTTCTTGAAGATTCGTATGAAGATATAAAACAATAACTTGATACTATACAACCAGATGGCTATTACATAAGAAGTGTCTACATCCTCATGATTCATTTTGTTACTCTGTTTTCTTGCAATAAAGATTAATAATAACATAACTTTCAATCACACTATTATATAAAGGTTAAAAGATCTTGCTTCAGCATTAGAATAAAATTAACTCTTATGACTGCAACAAATAAAATACTGTAGACCAATAAGTCATCAGAGGACGTCTAGGGTGGCTGGAAAAATACAAAGCATTTTGTGGGCACTAATAATGCAGTGAAAAGTCAAACAACTCTGAACAATTCAGAACGACAAAAGGTAACTGGCTTAGTAGTACCTAGCAAGGAAGCTAAAACTGCAAAAAAAGCAATGACTGAGTGCATGGATGGTGGCTGGCAGAGCCTGACAGGCATTCTTGAACTGCAAAGCCAGAATACGTAAACAGAGCTCAGTGACACAATACTTGAGTATTTGTACACTGCACAAACCAGCAACGAGCTTTTTACAAATAAAACCAGGCAGCTCTCTAGAGGTAAAAAAAAAAAAAGGAAACACCAATAAAGTTACTGGCTTCTCAGTGCACACACTGTAGGGCAAATTATCACCTCCATTACGTTTCTGTAACTGTCCTGAAGTGGCACACAGAGCCAGGTTTTCATGCCAGCTGGCATAAACACAGGTTGACCTTTGTCGCATGGTTCAGCACCAAGCGAGGATGAGGCATCATGCTGGAGGCTTTTCACGTGCTCGCTGACAGTAGTGTACAAGGACACCCAAGTTCAACCCAAGTGCAAGAGGACAGCCTCCTCTTATATGCCCATGCTGCTTTTCATTCACCCAAGTTTTAAATTCTTATGTCCTAACACCACAACGTAACAACCATACACATATATAGCATATATGTATACAAGCATATCTACCCATCACTTCTCCTTACGCACACAACTCCTTGGACAGTCATGCCTATCTACCCTTCTAGCTTGCCTCCCCAGATGAACCATCCAGCCTCACTCTCCTTCCAATATCTCTCCATCCCCTTTTTATCCAGCTTTTTTTCTCACGCAGGCAGTCATCTCTCTTCTGCCAAGCTCACAGAAAATACCAGCCTCTCTTCTCCTGTCTGCTCAACTTCACTGTTCCCCTGCAGACATCCATCTCATCCATCCTTCCTCCTGCATTTCCCTCATGCTCTCTCAGCCTCTGCCATCCCTGCTTTCAAGGCCACCTTCTTGCTCAGTTATTCCCAAACCTGTATGTCCCAGTTTCATCCTCAGAGAAGTAAAGTGCACTTGTACCTTTGTATAGCTGTACTGCAGAAGAGCAAACTTTTGGTCAGGAGACAGTATAACTGTGGTTGCCTTGGATGCATCCTGTCAACAAAGGGCAAAAGGAACACATTAAGCACTTATTCCACAGACATGCACAGAAGAGAATATTAAATTCAGTACCTTTCCCAATGTCTGCATATATTATATATAAGTCAACGTACTAATGTTGTATTTGTCAAGATTACGGAGGATGTTCCATTGTCAGCATTGAAACGTAGGACGTCCCCATTAGCTGTTTTGTGAAGATACTGATTTCCTAGAAGAACAAGAGAGCAGCTAACAAACAACAAGTGAAATGCTCGCCAGTTACTTCTCTTTTCCCCTTGTTTATAAGCAGGAAATAAAAATCTGGTCAGTGTTGTGTTTTCCACTTCTGTAATGAAAGGATGCTTATAGCACAAGAACGTTCACAAAATGTAGTCCTGAGGCTCATAGCCTCTGCCTTCTGACATCTCT